CCATTTCTTCTAAAGTTCGATTTTTCCTCTCAACAACTCCATTTTGTTGAGGGGTTCTAGGTGCTGAAAAATTATGGCTAATACATTAGAATTACAAAATTCAGTAAATTCAAGATTTTCAAATTCAGTTCCATGATCACTCCTAACACTAGTTATAGAGTAACCTTTTTCGTTTTGGATTTTTGAAAACGTGATGAATTTTTCTAATGCTTCATCTTTAGTACTTAAAAATATAACCCAAGTATATCTAGAATAATCATCTACCAATACAAATGCATATTGTTTTCCACCAAGCTAATAGTTCTAGGCCCAAAAGATCTAAATAGATCAATTGTAATACTCTACTAGTGGATACGTCATTAATGGATTTAAAAGAAATTCTCTTTTGTTTTCCTTTAGCACAAGCATCACAGATTTTATCATTATCAAATTTTAGTTTAGGCAAACCTCGAACTAAATCTCCTTGTATTAACCGTTGCAAAACACTCATACTAGCATGTCCTAGTCTCCTATGCCATAACCAACTATCATGCTCATCCTTAGCAACTAGGCATAATTATCATGCCTATGGAATCTAAATGCACCATGTAAATGTTTCATATTCTATGACCAACAAGCATAATCCGATTAGATGCAATGTCAATAACTTTACAATCATTAGTTTCAAAACATGACATTGAATCCCTTATCACATAATTGACTAATACTCAAAAGATTATGCTTTAATCCATTCACATATAAAACATTTTTAATTTGTATGGAAGAGGTATTACCTATTGTACATATACCTTCAATGTGACCTTTTGAATTATTACCAAAAGTCACTTCTCCTCTATTTTTGGCATTAAGCTCTATGAACCAGCTTTTGTCTCCGGTAATGTGTCTTGAGCATCCACTATCAAGGTACCATGAATTTGAATTTGTTTCCCTTGCCTTGTAGCAATGCTCCTTTTTCCTACAAACATAGATTAATTTTTAATTTTTTGTACCCAAATTCTTTTGGGTTCATACTCATTAGTCTCCAAAATTCTAGTCCCCTTAGGTATCCATTTGTGTAGGACATCCTTATCTTTAGTAGTAATGAGTTCTTTAGGAACCCATATACTTCTAACGATTTTTCCATTAGAGGTTCTTTGGGGGCCTCTATGATTGTAGTTTTTAAAACTTTTTCTAACAAAGTTGGATTTTGAATTTTCTCCTTTTTCAAAACGTTTTGTTCCAACTCTATCAAAAGAAGCTTTAAGATCGTCAATTTTCTTTTGATGATCATCACTGACCTTTGAAAGTAAATTATGAAAATCAGAAATTTTCTTTTCAAACTCTTCTAATTTGATTTGCAAATTTTTTATTTTACTTTCAAGATCATTGTTGGTTTTGGATATGAGATTATTTTCAATTTTCAATTTTGAAATATCATTTTTATATTTTAAAAACAAATTCTCATAATCCAAAGCCAACCCATTATATTCCTCTAATAACTCATCATAAGATAAATCATCTAAATCAAATGAGTTAGAGGTTACCTTAGAATCTTCCCCGAATTCCATCAAGCACAAGTTTGCTACTTCTTGTTCCTCTTCATCGGAACCTTCTTCATCGCTCCATGTAGCCACGTGAGCCTTGTGCTTAATTTTTGGTTGACCCTTCTTCTTCAACTGTGGGCAATCATATATTACATGCCCCTATTTTTTACATTCATAGCAAATGATCGGGTCCTTCTCTTTTGGTTCATTTTTGAAGCCTTCATTTCGTTTAAATTTTCTTCCTCGGTTAGGCCTCATCATTTTTCTGAACCGTTTGGAAAACAATGTCATTTCCTCGTCATCGTCATCTTCATCCGAATCACTCTCATCTTTTGTTGATTTGAGAGCAACTCCCACGTTCTTCTTCTTCTCCGTCTCCTTTTTTGGCTCGTCTCTTTTCTCAAGGTCTTTCTCTTCTTTAAGCATCATTTCATGCGTGAGGAGAGAGCCAATAAGTTCATCGAGGGTCAAGGATTTTAAGTTCTTAACCTCGATAATCTTCGTCTTCTTTGATTGCCAAGCTTTTGGAAGAGAGTAAACTAACTTCCTTACAAGCTTGTCATTTGGAATGATTTCTCCATATGATTTGAGACTATTGACAATCGTGGAGAATCTATCCGTCATAGCTTTGACATATTCATCCGGTTTCATCCTGAAATTTGCATAGCTATGAGTTAGAAGACTAATTTTAGATTCTTTTACCTCGTTTGTGCCTTCATGAGTGACTTGTAGCTTGTCCCATATATTCTTGGCGGTTGTGCAAGATGAAACTCTCCCATATTCATCCGGTCCAAGAGCACAAAAGATAATATGGATAGCTTTAGAGTTGAGCTGGAATATTCTTATCTCTCCTTCACAATCTTGGGTGAGTGGAGGGTTTGATGTATCCATCTTCTATAATATTCCTGCTCCCATGTCACTTGCTTGAATGAAATACATCATCCTTTTCTTCCAATAGCATAATTAGCTCCATTGAAGAAAGGAGGCTTGTTGACGGGAAATGAATCAAGACCGAAGTCAGAGTTTGAAGTAAAGGTCATTGATGACTTGATTATTGATGTAACTCTTCCCGAATCGACTCAAGAGGAGATTAAACCTTCAAATGAGTGAGGCTCTGATACCAATTGTTGAGTTAATCGATCGACGAATATGGCCAAGAGGGGGGTGAATTGGTAATTAAAAATTTCGGTGGAAGCTTTTGCAGAAAATTGAAAGTAATTACGCACGATTTAGAGTGGTTCGACTTTCTCAACCAAAGTCTATGTCCACTACCTTAGCTATCCACACTAAGGATTTTCCACAAATTCACTAATTTTTTCTTTCTTTTAAGGACAAAGAGTAACCTTACAAATCCCTCAAGAATTATACCCCAAATTCTTGAGAACTCTCTCCCAAAGAGAACAATACAAATTTTGCAAACTTACAAGAAAATCCTCACAAGGCAAGATGTTGCACAATTATAGAACAAAGAAAGAACACTCAAGAATATACATTGAGCAAAATAAGTGTTCTTGAAAGCAAAAATGAATATTGAATGAAATAGGCTTGAAATGCTCAAACTTGAGGTTTGATGTTTTCTCTTTGATTCTCTCTTAATTCTTGATTCTTGTTGTTGATCAATGGCTTCTAAGCTGCTTAAATACTCCTTCAATTGATTCTGAACACTGGGAGATTAGTGGAGTCAATAGAGCCGTTTAAGTGTGAAAACAATTAATAAAACAGTTGGGAGCGTCTGGTGCATCGATGCATAAGGCTGGTGCATTGATGCATAAGGCTAGTGCATCAGTACACTATGTGTAAAATTCAAATATTTCGACCATTGGACCCTTAGTGCATCGGTGCACTAAGAGTGCATCGATGCATAAAATGCATTCGATGTTTCAAACAAGCCTGAGTGCATCGATGCATGGTCTGTGCATCGATGCATAAAATGCATTCGATGTTTTTCATAAAACCTGAGTGCATCGATGCATGGTAGTGAATCGATGCAAGAAATGCATTCGATATGGTAAGTGCATCTATGCATCAATGAGTGCATCGGTGCATCCCTTCACAATTTTGATTTTTGGCTCGTTTTTTGTTCGAAATACTTTGTAAAAATTGTTTCAAAAACATTTTAAGTATAAAACATAATTTTACACATTAGTTAGGATTGAAATTGAACTTTGAAAGACATAGAGTAATATTTTGATATTCGAGTAATTAAATCGAATATACTTAGAAAATCATTTGTAAAATCTTAAAATTCATTTAACTTAATTTGTTATATTAAAACATCAAAATGTTTTCAACACTATCGATATAGCATATTTTTATGTAATTAAACTAAAATTAAAGTTTTATATATATCACTAACTAAAATTAAATTTTACGTGTATAATTATATAAAATTAGAATACATGTTTTATTGTATATTTAACCAAATTTTTGCATAAATTTTCATTATTTATCTCAAAATAATAATATAAAAGTTTGGCATTTTTTTAAGGAAATAAAGGTAGATTTTTTTAATATTTGTGTTATAATAGAGATTTTGATTAGGTTAATTGAACATGAATTTAATATAATTTATGTTAAAATAGACATAGGGATGTTCAAAACTTGTGAAGTATGAATATTATTTTTTTAATTTTAGAACACAATAATTATAAGTTAATATTTATTCGAATATTTTTTATTTAATAAATATTTAAATATTTATGCAGATGTCGTGTTTAAGAGGGGTTTTTAGTTCTTGTAAGTATGAAGGTTAAAATTAAATTAAATTAAATTATATATTTATGATTAAAGATACTATACAAGGTCATGGAGTATGTGGTTTATTGAATATTAAAATGAAAAAGAAAATGATTAAAAAAAAGATGAAAAATGATCATCTCGATCCAAATAAGTATATTTTATTAGACCCTTCTAAAAATGATTTAGGTGATAAATACAGACGAACATTTAACCTAATTTTGATAGATTTTGATCTGATCAAATTTATGGTGATCATTTTTCTTAAAATCATGTTTAAATTAAGTTAATTTTTTAAAATACAATGTTTGGTTAAAGTTTTGAATTTAAAGTGAAAAATATTGACTCAATCTAAACAATAATAATATCTCTAAATATTTAAAGATAATTGCAACAAAATATTTCTATATTTTTTTAATTAGATCTTTATTATACTAAATAAAAATGACATATATTTGTGTTGAGGGCTATAAATTTTTTACTCTAGTTAACAAATTAGTGAACATTCCTTAATTCTAACCTAATCAAATAACGGGTGAAAGAGTGTAATACTTAGATTAAGTTTAGGTGGATCAAAACTCGAACCAACTCAAGCTATATCCATCTCTAATTATATGTATTAGAATCTTAATATTTTTATTTATATTATATTTGATCTTAATTCTGTCACTTCCTCCTTTCAAATATAAACCAAACTTTGTGGAGGTCAAGATGTACACACTGCAACTTTCCTACGTTATACAAACACCGAATTAAAAGAAACATACATTACTCAAAGCTTGCCACAATCAAAATCTGCTTTCCTCAACAGCAACCTAGAGAGGAATTTCAGCAAAAAATTGTCTCTCAAGTAGTTCATCGTCTTCCCATCGCTTTGCTGTATAAAACCCACCACGAAAGCAGTGGCAATCACATCAAAACTCCTCCATCTTCTTTCTTGAGCAAATCTTCTCAACCCCTTTTCGATCCTCTCATATTCCTCCTCAACTTTTCCAGGTTTCAACAAGGCTTCACCGAGGCATCTGGCGAGAACAACGCCGTCCTCCAAGGCCAAACACCCGCCTTGGCCTAGGTCCGGCGTCATGGGGTGAAGAGCATCACCTGCTACACAGACATTACCTTTGCTGATATCTCCCCAAAGAAGCTCCCATGGCTTCCTATATCTTAACGGCGACGACACGACGTTATCTGGCGAAGTTTTCTCGACGATAGATCTCATCTCTTCTGATGTGTCTTGCATCATGCTTGTTGCGAACTGCTTCAACTTAACTGGATCGTCTTCCATTTCTTCCTCTACAAATAAAAACATAAATTTTGCAGTGATGGTATGTGATTTGAGCACGATCATAGGAATAAATTGACATCCTCGGTAATCGGTAATTCACTCTTCTAATTTAAATAGAAAATTATATTACAGGATATTTTGTTTGAATCATGTGTGAAAGATATTTATAATGAAACATATATATATATATATATATATAATGCTATTATGATTATTTGTAAGTCAATAAGATACACAGATTTAATAATTTGATCATAAATTTTATCTGACATATCATATATCAATTCATGTTTTGTCTATGCACTATAATTATTTCGAAGATTATGTATGCTATTCTCATATCCGGATCGAGGTTATGATAAACAAAATAATTTATCCATAACTTTCGATGGACACAAAGCTGATAATTTTGGAAGCTAATCTCCGGAAATATAATATATTAGTGTTTTCAAAGTAAGTTACCTTTGGAGGATGGAGTCCAAGTAAGAAACCAGTAGACATTCTCGTCGTCACAAGGGAGGAACCCTGTGTTGGATCATAAACTTGATCCATTATGAGAGCCTAAATCCAAACCCAAACTAAATTGATGTCATTACTTACATCATTTAATTAAAGATGTCATTGCTTACATCATTTAATTAATGATGTCATTGCTTACATCAATTTAGTTAGGTGAGAGTTAGATATTTGTTGAATTTGTAATGGTTTAAATTAGTTTATTTGTGTGGTGTAGGATTGTTCTTGAGTAGTATAAATACCCCTTCCCATTTTAGTTTTAAGCATCAAGAAAAAAATAGCTTCTAAGTGAGTGAGAAGCAAAGTCTTATAAGAGTGAGTTGTAGTTCTTGTTTTTGAGTGAGAGTGTTCTTGTAATATTTCTTGAGCTTCAATAAAAGTTGCTTGTGTGAGCATTTTATTTCCAACAAAGTGGCATCAGAGCGAGTTGGAAAGATCGAAGGTCTCGACGAGGAATACGACGCCGCCAGAATTTTCTCAATCTGAGTTCTGACGCACCGCCACGCACCGCCGGAAGACTGCTGCCAGAAAATCGAGTTGACTCACCGAGTTGAGCCGAGTCAGCCGAGTTGGAGCTCTTGACCGAGTTGTCCAAGTCCCTCCAAAGTTTTTTTTCATCGTTCCGGATTCATCCGTGCAATCGGATTTTATAAAATCTCATTATATTGAGAGATATGGCAAATGGTATGGCACCATTCCAAGTTCCGACACTCAACAACAACAACTACGACAATTGGAGTATCAAAATGAAGGCACTTCTTGGATCACAAGATGTGTGGGATATCATAGAGAAGGCTATAATGAGCCTACGGATGATGATGTTTTTGCTACTCTTACACCAGATCAAAAGACAACTTTGAAGGATTCAAGAAAGAGAGAAGAAGGCTCTCTACCTCATCTATCAAGCATTAGATGATGATGGTTTTGAAAAGATTTCAAGTGCAAGCTCTAGCAAGGAAGCGTGGGAGAAGCTGCAAACCTCTTATAAAGGATCCGAGCAAGTGAAGAGGTTCGTCTCCAACATTAAGAGGTGAATTCGAATCCTTAAACATGAAAGCATCTGAGTCTATTTCAGATTATTTCTCAAGAGTAGTAGCTGTTTCTAATCAATTAAAAAGAAATGGTGAAAAGTTAGACGATGTGAGGATAATAGAGAAGATACTCCGTTCGTTGGATCCCAAATTTGAGCACATCGTCGTGACGATTGAAGAAACTAAAGACTTGGAAGAAATGAAGATCGAACAGCTCCAAGGATCATTGCAAGCATACGAAGAGAAGCATAAAAAGAAGCATGAGTTTACTGAGCAACTCCTCAAGATGCAACTCAAGGATATGCATGAGAGCCAACGCAATGATAGAAACCAACGTGGCCAAGGCAGAGGTAGAGGCCATGGACGAGGTGGAAGTCGAGGTCGTGGACGAGGCTGGAATTACAACAATAACAATTCCAACAACAACTATGAGAAAGGAGAAAGCTCAACACGAGGCCGTGGAAGAATTAATCCAAACTCAAAGTATGACAAATCTCAAATTCGATGTTATAATTGTCAAAAATTTGGGCATTATGCTTCAGAATGTAGAGCTCCCAACAACAAAATTGAGGAGAAGGCCAATTACGTGGAGGAAAAGAAAGATGGCAAAGAAACTCTTCTTCTAGCACGAAAGGAAACTGATGGTGGCCAAGCAATTCCTGGTATCTTGACAGTGGTGCAAGCAATCACATGTGTGGAAGGAAAGACATGTTTGTGGAGCTAGACGAGTCAGTAAGTGGAAATGTTTCGTTTGGAGATGATTCCACAATAGCAGTGAAAGGGAGAGGTAACATTCTTATCCGTTTGAAAGATGGGAGACATCAATTTATTTCAAATGTCTACTATGTGCCCAATATGAAAAGTAACATTTTAAGTTTAGGGCAACTGGTAGAGAAAGGTTATGATATTCATATGAATAATTATAATCTTTCTATAAAAGATGATAAGAATAACTTCATTGCTAAAGTGCCGATGTCAAAGAATAGAATGTTCTTGATCAACATTCAAAATGATGTTGCAAAGTGCCTGAAAGCTTGCTACAAAGATTCATCATGGCTTTGGCATCTTCGATTCGGGCATCTCAATTTTGGAGGTCTAGAGCTACTATCTAAGAAGGAGATGGTGAAGGGACTACCTTGCATCAACCATCCTGACCAGCTTTGTGAAGGGTGTCTAGTCGGGAAACAATTCAGGAAAAGTTTTCCAAAGGAGTCGGAGACAAGAGCCAAGAAGCCACTCGAGCTCATCCATACCGATGTGTGTGGACCGATCAAGCCAAGCTCTCTTGGTAACAGTAACTATTTTCTTCTCTTCATTGATGATTTTTCAAGAAAAACCTGGGTATATTTCTTGAAACAGAAGTCAGAAGTTTTGAAGTCTTCAAGAAGTTCAAAGCAGCAGTGGAGAGAGAAAGCGGTAGAAAGATCAAATCCATGAGATCCGATCGAGGTGGAGAATTTACTTCCAGGGAGTTTCAAGAGTTCTGTGAAGCAAATGGAATTCGTCGACCAATGACAGTTCCTAGATCCCCCCAGCAAAATGGTGTGGCAGAAAGAAAGAATAGAACAATCCTCGACATGGCACGAAGCATGCTCAAAAGCAAGAAACTACCCAAAGAATTTTGGGCGGAAGCAGTATCGTGTGCAGTCTACTTGTCAAATCGATCTCCAACAAGAAGTGTATGGGGAAAGACACCGCAAGAGGCATGGAGTGGAAGAAAGCCTGGCATTTCCCACTTGAGAACCTTTGGAAGTATAGCCCATGTTCACGTACCAGACGAGAGAAGAACGAAGCTTGATGATAAAAGCGAGAGTTTTATCTTCATCGGCTATGATGCTAATTCGAAGGGCTACAAGTTGTACAATCCAGACAATAAGAAGTTTGTGATTAGTCGAGATGTGGTCTTCAACGAAGAAGGAGAATGGGATTTTAACTCTCATACAGATGACTTCAATTTCTTTCCTCAGTTTGAAGAAGATGAGCAGACAATGAGGGAGCAACTAGATGAATCTCAACAAGAGCTTGCAACTCCACCCACTTCACCAACATCAACCACTCAAGGAGACTCATCACCTTCATCATCGTCAAGTGGGAGTCAAAGTGAAAGAGTTGTGCAACGCACAAGAAGCCTTAGAGATCTCTATGAGGTAACTGAACGACAAGATAATCTTACATTATTTTGTCTGTTTGCCGATTGTGAACTAGTGAGCTTTCAAGAAGCGGTACAAGAAAAGAAATGGAGAGATGCGATGGACGAAGAAATCAAGGCCATCGAGAAGAATGACACATGGGAACTTACCTCACTTCCCAAGGGACATAAGGCGATAGGTGTCAAATGGGTGTACAAAACAAGCAAAACGCCAAAGGAGAGATTGAAAGGCACAAGGCGAGGCTAGTTGCTAAAGGCTATAGTCAAAGGCTGGAATTGACTATGATGAGGTATTTGCTCCTGTTGCTCGATTGGAGACTATCAGACTAATCATTTCTTTGGCAGCTCAAAACAAGTGGAAGATACAACAGATGGATGTAAAGTCCGCCTTCCTAAATGGAGTTCTTGAAGAGGAACTTTACATTCAGCAACCATCAGGCTATGAAGTCAAAGGGCATGAAGACAAGGTGTTGAAGTTGAAGAAGGCTCTTTACGGGCTAAAACAAGCACCAAGGGCATGGAATAGCCGAATCGACAAGTACTTCCAAGAGAATGGCTTCAACAAATGTCCCTACGAGCATGCTCTATATATCAAGATCAAAGATGAAGATATTTTGATCGTGTGCCTCTACGTGGACGATTTGATCTTCACTGGAAGCAACCCAAGCATGTTTAATGAATTCAAGGATGTGATGATGAAAGAATTCGAGATGACAGACATGGGGCTCATGGCGTACTACCTTGGCATTGAAGTTAAGCAACAAAATGATGGAATTTTCATTTCACAGGAAAGCTATGCAAAGGAGATACTGAAGAAGTTCAAGATGGAGAACTGTAAGCCAATAAGCACACCGGCAGAATACGGGATCAAGATGACCAAACATGAAGAAGGCGAAAGTGTAGATCCAACATTCTTCAAAAGTTTGGTAGGAAGTCTACGCTATCTAACTTGCACGAGACCCGATATTCTTCACGCAGTTGGATTGGTTAGTCGCTACATGGAATCCCCAACAACCACCCATTTTAAAGCTGCAAAGAGAATTCTTCGCTATCTGAAAGGTACAATTGACTTTGGCTTGTTCTATTCAGTTTCTAATGATTACAAGCTTGTTGGATATAGCGACAGTGATTGGGGTGGAGACATAGATAATCGAAGGAGCACTACTGGATTCGTATTTTTCATGGGAGATATTGCATTCACATGGATGTCAAAGAAACAACTGATTGTCACATTGTCCACTTGTGAAGCGGAATATGTTGCTGCTACCTCATGTGTTTGTCATGCAATTTGGCTTAGAAATCTATTGAAGGAGATTGGTTTGATACAAGAAGAGCCTACCAAGGTTTGTGTCGACAACAAGTCAGCCATTGCCTTAGCGAAGAATCCAGTATTCCATGATCGAAGCAAGCACATTGATATTCGCTACCACTATATAAGGGAGTGTGTTGCAAGAAAAGATGTGGAAGTTGAATATGTGAAGTCACAAGATCAAGTTGCTGATATTTTTACCAAGCCACTGACCAACGAAGACTTCTTAAGATTAAGGAACCTACTAGGGGTCACGAGATCAAGTTTAAGGGAGGGTGTTGGATCATAAACTTGATCCATTATGAGAGCCTAAATCCAAACCCAAACTAAATTGATGTCATTACTTACATCATTTAATTAAAGATGTCATTGCTTACATCATTTAATTAATGATGTCATTGCTTACATCAATTTAGTTAGGTGAGAGTTAGATATTTGTTGAATTTGTAATGGTTTAAATTAGTTTATTTGTGTGGTGTAGGATTGTTCTTGAGTAGTATAAATACCCCTTCCCATTTTAGTTTTAAGCATCAAGAAAAATCAATAGCTTCTAAGTGAGTGAAGAAGCAAAGTCTTATAAGAGTGAGTTGTAGTTCTTGTTTTTGAGTGAGAGTGTTCTTGTAATATTTCTTTGAGCTTCAATAAAAGTTGCTTGTGTGAGCATTTTATTTCCAACACCCTGATCGAACACCTTTGCCGACGAATAGTCTGAATTTCAGTTCAAATCCATGGCCACCTTTGAAATTTGCATTACCTCTAATCGCCGATCGACCTGTGAAAGCAGGCTTCTTTAAATCAAGCCATTTTGTCACAACTGAGTTGATTCCATCACACCCTATCAATACCTGTCATGTTACAGTGAAAATTAGCCTCTTTCAACTGTATATATAATCTCGGGTTAATTCCACCAGTCGTCCTTGAACCATGGTTTAAATTCTAAATCGATCATCAACTTAAAAACTTTCTAATCGACTCGTTAAAGTATCAATATGGTATCAAACCAAACATTTTGTTTGATTTATTAACAACATAAAATGTTATAACTGGATCTGATATAAAACTTAATAATCAATGGTTTTTCATGTCAATTATCAAGGACAAAATAAAATTATTTGTAAAAGTGTACATAAATTTATTGTTAGATTTTCAACAGAATTTTGAATTATTTTTCTCTTCTGCTATATTTATTTGACTGTCTGATGGGTATTAGAAAGAAATGCAAGATAATTATTTTGCACGGGTCACTGTCTCTTTTAAAATATTGATTATTAAATTAATTTTGATTTTATAATTTGATCACTCATCAAATTATAAGTGATCAAATTATAAGTACAACTTAGGGGTTGTTTGATAAAATAAAATGATTAAGCACTGAATGATTCAATGGTCTGAATGATTCAAAGGCTCTTTATGAATTGGCTCTGAATGTGACATGTTGCTTGATAATGGTTCTGAATGTACAATCTGAATTATGAATACTTTCATTTTTACCTTCATATATATTGATTTATTATATTATAAGATATGATTGTTTAATAAGGCAACATGTAAAAAAATAGGTATTATGGTAAAATACCAGGTACTTAATGATTCATAATGTACTTTAGTGCTGAATCATTCAGAAGTGTTTTGCTATTTCATTCAACATAGTTTTCATTTAGATGTGAGAATCAAATAAGCTGAATGTTGAACGGTTTAACATTCAGCGCTGAATGATTTCATTCAGCAGTAAACAAACGGCCCCTTAGTTTGTCTACATATTATTTTTATGATATTTTAATATTTGTGACACTTATAACATAATTAGTCAATTTTATGTCCATAATTGATGATTTTAACCTAACATAAAATTCTAACTAGAATATGATGTTGAACATATTTAAAACCCTATCAAATTTAATGCTAAGTTGATAGCTAAGCCGCAAAAAAGTTCAATTGATGGACTAATTTAGATTATAAATCATAGTTTAGGGATATATAGTGTAGTTAACCCCGTAATTTATGAAATAAAATATAGAAGGATTTGACCTTGGTTTTGAGGATGGTTCCATCAGCAAGATGCACTCGTTTAAAGTAACCCGAAGATTCATCGACGGAAACCACTTTAGAGGAGAACCTGATGGTTCCATCGGGGAGTTCCTTTGCTAAAGTTTCCAACAACGATCTCCGTTGAAGACAACGAAGCTCCCGGCCGTCAAACGAAATCTCCGATATCGGCTTCTCCAAGAACGTGGAAGCCACAACTATGCTGCACTCAGTTCAGATAACGCCGCGTTAATTTACAGAAAATCCAAAGCTTTTAAGAGATGGTTCGTCGTTGTTAAAGTTAAACTACCTGGTCATTAGGTAATGTTGATGGCGTAGAGATTCACCGATGCCGATAGCATCCAGGGCTCTCCATGCATTGCTCCATGTAGTGAAAGCAAACCCTGTGATCCTCAACGTCTCCGATGATTCCAGCACTAAACTACGAATTCCCAGCCTGAAATATTTCACAACCGATTAATCTTGTTTATAAGAACAAGTTTGACGATTCACTCATTTTAATTTCGACGAAGAACTACGTTTGGTGAGTATATATATATATGAAAATGATCAACAAGTAATGATATACCTATGGAGTCCGAGGGATGTGGTGAGACCTGCAATTCCAGCCCCTACAATCACTACGTCTTCAATGATTTCCATTTTTTAAACTTTGGGTGCTTTTAGTTCTTTGCAGGGACTTGGGATATATATATATGTGTGTGTGTAGATGAGTAAAGGTGAAAGAAAGGTAAAGGAAAAGATGGTGTCAGCGCATATGTAATACTGAGTAGACGCCTGATGGTGGCTAAAACATCCATCTGCAAGAATGATTGACGGTGGTTGGCTTTTTGCACTTTTTACTTTTGTCCTTTCTAATGATATTTTGTTGAACAAGAAGCGATAGAGCTTTTCCAGTGCCATTGAAAAGCGTGGGTCAAGTTCTTGTGTTATATATATATATTATATATTTATTTTTGTCCACCTTTTTTATTTAGCATAGTGTATAATAATTTTAAATATAACTTTTGAAAATATATAATATATAATTTTTAAAACGATTTTAAAAAATATATAATATATATTTTAAAATAATTTTAAAAACATATAATATATAATTTTTTTAAAACGATTTTGAAAATATGGTATATAGTTTTTAAAGTAATTTTGAAAACATATATATAACTTTTAAAACGATTTTGAAAAACATGTAATATATGGTTTAAAATAATCTTGAAAACATATAGTATATAATTTTCAAAATAAATTTTAAAGAAAACGTATAATATATCGTTTTTTTAAAATATTATTTAAAAATATATGATATATGGTTTTTAAAACATTTTTAAAAAACTTATAATATGGTTTCTAAAACATTTTTTAAAAAATGTATGGTATATGGTTTTTAATTTTTTTGAAAACATATATTATGATTTTGAAAATAATTTTCTTTTTAAAACACATATACTTTCGAAAATAATTTTTGAAATCATATTTAGTTTTTTTAAAATGTTTTTAGGGAACTTATATAATATATATTATTTTTAGTTTTTATTCTATTATTTTAAATTTTATTTTGTTTTTATTTTTTAGGGTCCATAATAGTCCAAATTTGGAATCCAATTGGGTAGCCTGACTCAGCAAACACGGTAGAAGCGTGGAGGCCACGCGCCAACCCAGTTAACAATCGTCCGAAGTTCTCGATCGGAAAATCGTAAAGGAATCGGGACTGGCCCATCCCAAAATAATCGGCCAACAACGAGCAGTAATAAATCGTCCGATTAAATAAGAAAAGGGGGACTGAACCATCCCGTCAAGGTCAGAAACATACCCATCGGGAGGCTATAAATACCACGTCGAACCACCCAAGAACGGGAAGCAAAGAGAGCACAACAGAACAAGCAGATAAACCCGAACCAAATACCACCAATATACTAACAACCACAATGTAGAAACACAGAGCGAGTGAAGCCAAATACCAACAGAAAACATAGAACAAAAAACGAAAGCAAATACAAAAAGAAACCGAGCAACCAAACCATCCAAATCACAAGCATACAAAAAAATAAGCATCGGAAAAATCAAGGCAAACATCAACATTGGATCAAAGGAGGAACGACCAACGGAACTCAAAAGATCATTGTGGAACAAAGGTAAAAGTCGTAACTTTGGGCTTAGATCTACTTTGTTTAAGACGTTATCTCATTTTTCTAAGGGTGGATTCGGGTTCACGACCTCGAGGGGTTATTTTGGGTTAGGTTAGTTTTTCCGACCATCGAGGGCGACGGCCGGTAGGCAATACAAGGCTAGGGCGGTGGTCGACCATTCGGTCGAGTTAGGAAGAATGGAGAGAGTTGGGAGAGTTTTGGGGGTTTGTTTTTGAGAAAAATGTGAGAAATGAAATTAATAGGTGATTTTAGGGGTATTTATAAGGAGACTATGTTGTAATTATGAGATTTTCAAATTATTTCTGTAGTCCATGGACTTTTGATGTGTAATTCATTTTGGTCACCTATTAAAATTTTGCCTCTGGATTTTCAATTAATTCGATTTAGCTCCTATTTATAATTTATATTTTACAATTTAACCCCTTTAACTCTTTATTTTTCTTTGCATCACATCTTTAGGATTAATTTGGTCCCTCAATACCAACTTGTTTCAATTTAATCCTTTGAAATTTTTTTCCTTTTTTTTCTTAACATGTTATTTATTTATTTTTTATTTTTAAACATTTTTAAAATTTGTAAATTACTTTATTTTACAATCTAATATTTTTTTTTTATTTTTAGGGGTAATTTTAATCGATCAAAAGTAAGTTGTTCGAATTGAAACTTTAAATTTCAATTTAACTTTTAATTTTCGCAATTAAGACAACCGAGAAATTAAATTGGTACCGAAAGGGCTATACAATGGTGCTAATCATTCTTTGACTGTAATCGACTCCCGAATCCGACATATTTATGATAAAATGCATATCAGGTAAGATGATAAATTAAGGAGTTCGATCAACCTAAATTTTCTTTTAAAAATTATCGGTGGCAGCTCTAACATGCTTCATTTAAGTCGAAGCCCAATTTCGAACCCACTCGAAGGACAGTTACTATATGTATATATATATATTGATAAATGAAAATATTATTCATCGTAACAAAACTAAAAGAAAAACCAGAGTTACAAAGACGACAAAACAAAGCACAAAATCAAAATACTATACCAGTTCATTCCTAAACTATATTAGCCCCCACTCTTCAGTAAGAGTAGAGGAGTAACCAGTGACCTTCTCGCACCCCTTTAATCTCATCTGAACATCATGCTTAATCTGCAAAACAACTTCTGCAACCTGCCTCAAACCAACCCTGTGAATCCTACCTTTCTTCTCCTGCCAAATATAATAAAGATAGCCACACCAAGCTAATCAAATGACAGCCCCCTTCAACAACTTATCCCGGCCATGACCCTGCACCCAATCAATCATATCCCGACCAACAACCTATTACAGTTAAACTAGCTACCGGTTTGTTTAAAGATTAATAATAATGTAAGGTAAAATATATACAACTTAACCATTTGAAATATTTTTTTAAAATTCGAAAGTTTAGATATTTACTCTAAAAGTATAGATACTTTAAAGGTTAATAATAATGTATCTATATGTACTCTAAAAGTATTGATATTTGCTAAAGTATCGACCATCAAATTATAGTATCAATATTTATTTTAAAAATAATTGTCATCCAAAGATACGTAATATATTAAATCCTACCGAAATTATTAAACACAACTTTAATATTTCATATTGCAACCTACTTCTTTATTCAAAATATCATTATTGGGCACAACCTAATATGTTAATATTTATTTATAACAAAATAAGAAATTAACATATTTTGTTGTCGTGAGATTTCGAAGGTCTCATCAACTTAAAATTTGATAACATTTTAGGCGCTATCTAATATGTTGATAATATTAATAACAAAATAAGTAATTAACATATTTTGTTATCGTCGGATTTCTAAGGTCCTATCAACTTAAACTTTGATAATATTTTAGACGCTGCCTAATATGTTGATAATATTGATAACAAATTAAGTAATTAACCTATTTTGTTATCGTTGGATTTCTAAAGCCTCATCAGCTTTAAAAAACGCTACATGAGCGCTATTTGTTATGTTATTATGGTTGATAATGTTTCCGGTAATTAACCTGTTTTGTTATCATCATATTTCTAAGGCTCCATCAGCTTAAACTTTGGTAACATTTTAAGTGCAACCTAATATGTTGATAATATTGATAACAAATCAAGTAATTAATATATTTTGTTATCGTCGGATTTCTAATGACCATCAGCTTTAAAAATGCGCTACATATTACGTTACATAAGCGCTACCTATTATGTTATTATAGTTGATAATGTTTCCAGTAATTAACCGGTTATGTTAAAGTCAATTTTTTTTGGCACATTTTACATACGACAATAATATTCCCGGTTATTATCATTATTATTACCAACACAAATAACATTTCCAGTAAAAATATATAACATTTTCGATAATACTTTTAACCGATCACCTATTTAACCAATTACACCATATATTAACAGTATATTAGACCACCTCACAACAGAACCTCCCAAAAAGCTTAATAAGAGCTATTGAAGAGGTGTGTAGGGGCAGATTTGCAATTAACTCTTTCTTGTTATCTCGTATTTGGATGTTTTGGGCCAATAGAATGTTGAGTTTCATCTAGGCCGTTAGATTTGATAATTTTTTATAAATAATTTTTTTCTTCTAGGAGTAAATATCAAATATTTACATAAATTTTTATTAAATGTATAATGATATACATAATTTTAAATTTAAATTTTGAGTTGAAGGTTTTGTGTATGTAAAAAATTCTCATTGGAAGACTTATCTATCGAAGTTAGATATGCGACACGAGTCAATCCAGATTAGTCAAGATAAAACCATTGGGAACTGGAACGAAAAAAAAATTACATATATTAAGTATTAATTTGATTTCATTTTTAAAATTATTATATTAACTATCGATATAGCATATTTTTATGTAATTAAACTAAAATTAAAGTTTTATATATATCACTAAACTAAAATTAAATTTTTACGTGTATAATTATATAAAATTAAAATACATGTTTTTATTGTATATTTAACCCAAATTGTTGCATAAATTTTTATTATTTATCTCAAAATAATAATATATAAAGTTTGGCAGTTTTTTTAAGGAAATAAAGGTAGATTTTTTAATATTTGTGTTATATATAGAGATTTTGATTATCAGGTTAATTGAACATGAATTTAATATAATTTATGTTAAAATAGACATAGGGATGTTCAAAACTTGTGAAGTATGAAGGTTAGTTTTTAATTTTTCTAGAATATAGTAATTATAAGATAATATTTATTCGAATTTTTTTATTATTTAATAAATATTTAAATATTTATGCAGATGTTGTGTTTAAGAGGTTTTCTTAGTTCTTGTAAGTATGAAGGTTAAAATTAAATTTAATTAAATTGGATATTTATGATTAAAGATACTATACAAGGTCATGGAGTATGTGGTTTATTGAATATTAAAATGAAAAAGAAAATGATTAAAAAAAGATGAAAATGATCATCTCGATCCAAATAAGTATATTTTATTGGACCCTTCTATAAAAA